ACAAAAAAAAGGTGGCAGTGTATATCCCCATGTTCTACCGGTAGATCCATTTGATTTTGCTCATCCCATCGATGGAAATAGCATGAGGCTAGCCGCAGGGTTGGATACTGACCTGTTGTCCGGTGCTTTGCTCTTCCTATCGATGGAAAACTCTCTCTCTCTCTCTCACGTCGCCTCTCTCTCTCTCTCTCTCTCTCTCTCTCTCTCTGTCTGTTGAATGCTCGCAAGCGCTATTGTGCGCACTCGGGCGTTTCATGCGGAGAAAAACAAATTTCGATTTCATTCGACAAATGCACAGACTGGTACTTCCCTTCCCACCACGACGAAGAAAGGCGGGAGTAAGGGGAGAAAAAAAACAGAAGATAAAAAAGCAAAACCAAAAGGAACATTGGCGTAGATTTGAGCATCTTTTTCGTCACCCGTGTTCGTAATTTCTTACAAACGAAGTCGAGTGAGTTTGTTGTGAATGGACGAAAGAAGTAGTACAAGAAGAAGAAGAAGAAGAAGAAGAAGAAGAAGGACGCGTGAGGGGTGCGGGTGGAGGAAGGTGGAGTGGAAGCCCTCACAGAGCGTTGCCTTATCTATGAGGCCACGAGGTCTTTCCAGGTGCAGAACTGGCAGGGCCCTAAGTGAAGGCCTGGCCAATTCTTGGAAAAGGATTTTTTTTTTTTTTTTTTTTTGAAAAAGGCTGTGTCAGGCCAGTTGGGATACTGGTGGTTGGGATCCGGGCTGGCCGTGGCTGCTTCTGAAAGGTACTGGGAGGCAGTGCCTGCCAGCCCGCTCAGATCCCGGCTTGTCTCAGACCTGGCGAATGCTGCTGTGCTGCTTGAGTACACGAGCACTTGGGAGGCAGGCATTAGTGGATGGTTAGCGGTCAGGGGAAGAGAGAAGGCATTGCCACCCGTTGCTCCGCTGGGCACCTCAGGACAAAGGTAGCATGTGGAGGGGAAAAGCGATAGGGACATGGTGATTGGCGAGGGACATACCTCGTGGTCGCCAAGAAGAGCTTCAGCGTGGTACTTTCTGGGTTCAGGCATCAGTAGGAGTAACATTGGACTCTGTGGCATTGAACACTGACATAGTATAAAGTAAATGTTGGTCAGTGTAGGTGACCACATAAGCTGGTAGGGAAAGCAGCGAGAGCAGAGAACTACCATTGTTGTTTTATTGATTTTTGAGAGGTGAGAAGGGATTTTCGTCATCAAGTGAATAGAGCATCGTTGATTCTTATGCTGGGATGGTTATTGCTTTGTCATTTCTGCTGATTGCCTTGTCCCCATACATATACAGTTCACAAAAATTCAGGGTGCTTGTAAATTGAGTTTCTGCACTGCGGTTTCCTTGTGTATACCTTTTTGTTTTCGAGATTTCTGCTGAACGTGCGTTCATCTGTCCTTACAAGTATTTGTTTCTCTCCACTCTTTGATTGTCTGCATGCAGTTCCCAACCCTGGGTTTTGTGGTCGAAAGGTATTGGCAGATTCTTGCACATGTGGAAGAGAGCTTTTGGACAATTTACTGTCGATATGTATCAGAGGACAACGTCAGTGCAGAGTTCCAATGGGAGTAAGTACTACATCAGTTATCTGACCAAAGATTAAATGCCTCCCTCCCTTGTTTTCTTAGGTTATGCTCACGTTATCACTTTCCTACATGAATATGAGAGTCTTGATGACCAGATTTAGTCGCAAAACTTACTCCCTGAGTACCCCTGTGTCCTGTTTGCAGCTTGTCTCGACATTGTTGACAGTGGAACTGTTCTTCATGAAAAGCGACATGCTTTTCCCTATCTTTCCCTTGTCCAAATTCGAACTATTTCTTCTTCAGTTCCCTTCTCCCTTCCCTCTTGCCTCAGGCTCTTCTCTCTCTCTCTCTTCGTTAATCCTTCCTCTCCTTTCAGCTTCGACCTTTTGTCCTTCTATAACCGTTCTCCGATGTGTCCAACCGCCTGTCCACTCTGCTGTGGACTCCGCAGCTTCCCCCAACTCTCCTCATTGTAGATCACCTGCTTCTGCTTTTGCAGGATTATTTAGCCATTCCATCTTCGAGCTTGCAATCCAGGTAGATCCCAGGGCGTACAGATTTATTACAGACCCCCATTGCATTTGCCGAGTTGGGAAGTTTGAGACCACGTCAAAGCATGAAGCTGTGTTGGGACCTGACTGTTCTGTGATGTGAAATGACTGAGAGGGTACGCAGACATGGCTCTAAACCCCCAGTACCTTTCCCCGCTCGAAAAAAAATAGTGTGGCGGTTAACACGGAAGCAAATTTCGGTTCGTCACTGGGCTTGACAGTTCAACGGGGGAGGAAGTAAGTGGGCCCAACAAAAGGGAGCAAACGGACTACAACATGTCCTTTGGTGTGCTGAGAATGTAGAAACGCACAGGCACTGAAGGAAACGACGTGGAAAAAAAGAAAGAAAGAAAAGGAACGTTTTCTTTCCTTTTTCCAGAAGCCGGGATATGCTGCCAGGTACTCCATTGTTCTCGGACGAGGAGTCTCGCCGTTTCAAAAAGAAAAGGAACAGCCGAGAATCTTCTTCGTCAAAAAAATAAAACAGAAACAAAGGGCTAAGGGCATACCAAGCTCTGGATGCCATCAGATTCATCCTCCCCGCCCTGAAGTAAGGTCAGATACAAAGTGCCAAAGTCCAATGAAGCCCTTAAATGGAAAGGGCTGGCAGACATTGGTTGCTCCCCGTGAGAGACGGGTGGCAGTTGAGTGCCGGCCAGTCCCTTTGGTTTCAGGGCTTCATTAGACTTTGGCACTTTCCAGCATGTATCTGACCTTACATTTGGGCGGCCGTGGATGAATCTGAAGGCAATAACGGCAAGAGCTTGGTATGCCATTAGCCCTTTGTTTTTCCTTCTTTTTTTTTCTGGAAGAGATTCATGGCTGTTTATGATGTGTCTCCCCGTGAGAGGCGGGGAGCAACCAATGCCTGCCAGCCCTCTCTATGTCAGGGCTTCATTCGAATTTCCCACTTTCCAGCGTGTATCTTACCTAACTTCTGGGCCGTGGTACATGAATCTTAAGGCCATCACGTCCAGAGCTTCGTATACCTTTCCCCCTTTGTTTTTTCTTTTTTGTTTTTCTGGCAAAAGATTCTTGGCCATTTACAACGTGACAACTCGTGGGTGAGGAATGAAAGTACTTGCCAGCCAGTTCTTTTTAGAATGCATCTGGTCGCACTTCTGGCCAGGCAAGGGGTAGTATATGAGTGAAAACAAGAGAAGGACGGCGGAATTCATTTCAGCTGCTTCCAGGAGGTCCAGCATAAGGGGCGTACCGGTCCCAGCCAACAAATTTCCCCTATCGGTTCCTGCCCCATCTAGGGTCGGCAAAAGTTGACGCGCATGGCATTTTTAGGCTCGACATCAATAGCTGAGAAAGGTACTGGTGGTTGGATTCCATGGGTGTTGGTGTGACCAGATACGTCGTTGCAGTCCATGTGTGGAATTATTCATGATGTGAAAGAACTGGAGGGTAGTCAGACATGGCTTTAATTGTTGCAGTCCATGAGGGTCGGTGTACCTTTTTTCCTTTTTTCCCTTAAACCACCACTACCTTTCAAAGCTGTAGTGCCAAGTGGGCATTGCCGTTGAACCGCTTAGGAGGTCCCGCGGAGGCTCGGCACAAAGAAAATGTTTGGGCCCTCTGGCCCCGTTTCTGAAACCCCAAAAAAAAAAGGAAGCAGCTGTTTCGAGATTCATGATGTCGGGGAAGGCCATGAACGAGGACTTCCTCACACCAGTGCTTCCCAGTCTGAAGCTTGCCACTTTTGTGGCTAGATTCAGATCCAGATTTTTGTGTTTTGTTTCTTGTTTTCCTTCCTTTATATTGCCCTGACAGCTAGGCAGGGTGCATTCCACGGACTGCTGCAACTGTCTCACGAAGGGCACACTCACACTACTTCTGGTCATCTATCTGCCCTCTTGCCCATCCAAAGTGTCATATCAATTTTTTTTGTTTTCCCTTCTTTTCCGAATCTGACTGTGCCACTGTAACGCCCTCGCTGAGACCATACTCACACAAGCACTTCAGACAATGCATCGAGCTGCTTTCACGTCCAAAACGTCTTTTTTTTTCCGGTTCTTTTTTGACAGGACTGCCGTGATTAAATCAGTTTTCATAGGAGTACCACAAAAGAAACAGAAACCGGACCCAGGCTCGGCAAAACCCAGTGCGCAGTGAAATTCAGGTTCGGCAAAAAGAGGATCGGAGGTAGTGGTGGTCTAAAAAACGGAGTGTCATTACTCCGGAGGACCAGGTTCAGTGTCCCTACACTCTGTTATGGCCTAGGAACCCTGGGACAGGGACATTGATGACTTCCTGAGAAGGATATACCTCTGCTCACCCCTGCTCTTCCTGACCGCATACGAAAACTATTCCTCTTCAGCTGAATAGCAGACAGCCATCTGATAGTACATGAAGCCCTTAGAACAGCTTGAAGTGATTGTGGAGACTGGGAAGACGTTTAAGCTACTGGGATTGTAAATGAAGAGTAGATATTCTGATCATGCTATGCACTGAAACCCCTCGTACTTTGTTTGGTCTATTTTTGGAATTTGAACTGTATGTCGGCACTTGTGCCTATTTTCTACCAGGCGTGGGAGACTCTTTGATCACATGGCAGCTGCAGTCATCTATGAAATGTGCCAAGAAAATCCCCTAGCCACTGTAGGTGAAAAGACCATGCCTCTTTCCTCTTTCCTGCTCGTCCGATTCTTTGCTGCTTACACTGTAGTCACACAGTATTTTTCACCAAACAAACTGAAACAGCAGATGCTCAATGTTGTGTCCAGTTGCGGCTGAAATTGACAAGCTGTCAGATCACTGAAAGGATAACTCTGTGATCATTAGAGTACCACTACCTCCAGACCTGATGTGCTGAGCCTAATGCGGCCAGGCACCAGACCAGTTTCCGCTGGTCCAGCAGCGGGAAATCCGACCCTATTGTAGTCACTACTTTGGAAACAAGGACACCCTCCCAGGTAGTGATTGCGTAGTACATGTGCATGATGGTCTGAGTTCAATCTCAAGGATCACATTCTGTTTAAAAGAGTATGTAATGTGATTAGCTACTTACGGTGTTGCCCATTTCACAACTCTTCAGAGACAGCAGCTCGGTATCACTGCCTGGTAGCCCAAAGTGGTAGGCAGTCAAAGATGGTTGGATGAGTGGGTGGATTGATGAATCAGTGGAGGGTTGATAAATTTGTGTGTGTGTGTGTGGATAGATGGATGGGTGGACAGTTCAGTGGGTGGATAGATGGATGAATGTGCGGTAACGTGATCAGCTACTTACGGTGTTGCCCATCATAACTCTTCAGAGAAGGCAGTCCGGTATCACTGCCTGGTAGCCCAAAGTGGTAGGTAGTCGAAAATGGTTGGATGAATGGGTGGATTGATGGATCAGTGGAGGGTGGATACATTTGCATGTATGTGTGGATAGGTGGATGGGTGGGCGGTTCAGTGGGTGGATAGATGGATGAATGTGTGGATGGCTTACTGGATGGGTGTGGTCTGGATCCACTTGATGGAAGTGATGTGGTGACAGGTGGCTGAGGTGGGTGACTGCCTCATTATGGGATGGATGAGCTAAATGGATCAGGCTGGGTTGGTTAATTGATGGATGGGTTGACATATAGTCACAAGGGGTTTGGTGAGATGGGTAATGGTGGGCTGCCTGCATGGATGGGATGAAGGAAATAAATTGCGTGAGCAGGATTGGATCAGTGGGTGTGTGGATTGAATGGATGACAGGATGCATGAGATCAATGGTATGGATGTTTAGCTTCTTGCATGAAGATTGGTGGACAGATGAAATGTATGGGCCAAATAGCTTGGATGTATGAATGTGTGGGGGGTGTATGGTTGAAAGGATGGGTCGAATGTATGGGGTGGATGAATGTGTGGGGTGGGGGGGTATAGCCAGGCGGGTGCAAGGATGCATGGGCTGGGTGGAGGACATAGGTATGGATGGGATGGACTGGATAGATGGTGAACGGATCTCACACAGTCAGTCCTGAAGTCCTGGTCCCAAGGTCCCAGTTGGTCCCGGTCCCAGGCTGTCCCAGCAGGGTAGGTCATAGGGTCCATATGTCGGTAGGCTGCGGTACTGAAATGTCGCAGGTGTGTAAAAGTCCGCGGTACCTGCAGAGGAAGTAAAGTCCGAAAGTCCAAAACTTGGACAGGAGACAAGCGCCGGGGAGGGAAGCAAGTGTACTGGCTACGAGAATCAACCATAGCTAAAGTGGTAGGGAGGAGGAAGACGGCGGCCATAGCCACCAAGGTTGGAGTAACACATCACAGTAACATTCAGGGTAAATCCTAGGGAGTTAGGGAGAGAGAGAACTTGAGCGCAGAGCAAGGTTGTGCGATACAAGACCTGAGAGAGAGAGAGAGAGAGAGAGAGAGAGAGAGAGAGAGAGAGAGAGAGAGAGAGAGAG